TTGATTCCAACTGAAAACAACTCCATGAATGGAGACTAGAATTGCTCCATGGTGTTATCAAGTATATGAACTTCAGATAGCTCAGCAAGGCTATGTTTCAAAATACCTGTAGATGTGTTTCAAGTTCAAATATTTTATATAGTAGCCAGGACCTACCAGAGACTTTCATCATAATGAAAGACTATGTAGCCAGGGTAGACCCTTTAAAATCTAAGTCACATTGTGTTCTTCTGCTCAGAAACTGTCAATACCTTTTATCTCATTAAGGGTAAAATGAAAAGCCCTTCAGTTCTCTAATTTATCTTCCAAATAAGACCTCTGCACATTCCATTCACTTTGTTTGGAGCCCTCTTTCCTCACTTGCATAATTTTGTCCTATCTCCAAGTCTTCCCAAACATCACCTAATCAGGGACAATCTTCATAATATCTGCTCTCAGGAACAAAGATAAGATAGTCTCCTGAAAGCCTCCTGTCCCTCTGAAAGAGTGATGTGTGGACTCCTCAGTAGTTGGATTGGTTTTAGTTTGGTTAACAAGAAGATATTGCCACAGTCTACTCACTTATGTTAATTTGTTTAAAGCTTTGTGTCTTAAAAATATGTCAGCCTAGCATCTTTTGAGTATTTGCTAAGCCACTCATTAATATTAAGCAGGAATCCACTCAGCTGGCCCCTCATTGGGTTTCCTAGACTGTAAATCACACGAGAGAAAATTGCCCATCTTTTCTCCTTGGAAGCATTGACAGATCTATAACCTAGAGAGGGGAGATCTAACCTCATATGAACTACAAATGATAATAATTAAAAAAAAAACCCACCTATGCAGCTGCCAGATCACTGAGGGTAAGAAAAGGACTAACACACAGTAGTAGGACATAGGAGAAATGCTCCAAGAGATAAGTTAGGTCTTAAAAGGTGAAGATGGAATACACTAAGGATAAGCTTTTGTCTAGTTCAGAGGGTTGCCTGCAGCTATCCTGGAGGGCTTAGATAGCAACATCACCATTAAATATTTATTGATTACCCGGAGGCAAGGCAAAGGAGAATCTGACCCTTCAAGGTCCTTTCTCTATTTCTGAGAAAATAAAAATAGATTCTTTCCCAAAGTTTAATCAACATTTTAGAAGTGGAGTAGAGATGGTCAAGTTTACTTAGAAATTAATCGCTCTATTTACCTTACATCTTTCCTTCTGGCTTAGCATAAGCTTTTTTTTTTTAAAAAAAACAAACAAACACATTTTTAGTTTTAAGTAATATTTATACTCAAAAGGAAACCAAGACATTAATGAATTTGAAAATTAATCCTTTCGCATACTGAATGGAGAGGAATTTGGAAATAACAATTTGTACATACTGTACATTTCTTTCTTCCTAAATTTTAAGTGTGAAATCCGTCTGATCAAATTACTTGAAATGTCAGGAAGGAGAAATGACACTTCATGTAACAAAGATATGGCATTTTATCTAAAATTATATTTTTCACAGCTCATGAAGGAATATATGAGTGAATGAGTGATGGCTATAAACTTTCTCAGTCTCCCTGATGTATGGCTGTCACCAAAATGTGAAGGCTAACAAAGCATAAAAATGCCAAAAAGGGAATATTATGTCTTGAGGATTATAATGAGGTTCAGTGCCAAATGCTTGGAAAACATAATTCCTGTGGTCTATTACCTTATTTCACAAGTTAGTACATAATGGGGGAAATCATGCAATTTGTTAAGGGTTATAGACTTTAAACGCTGGCAATCCTTTTTTTTCTCTCTTTAATCTTCCCATCTTTCCTATCATCTTCCTATGGATGTGCTATTGCTTGCTTTGGTACCAGTGCTCTCTCACTCTCTGACACATACGTATTTTAACATGTTACTTTGCAAGGAGAAAAAGTTAACTAAAGGATTGACTCAACTCATTGCTGTCAAATTGGAACCAGCACATAGCTGATTCTCCAGCAGGTTTTTATTAGCTGTTAATTATATGGGATCTCGCCACTGAGCTGCTGGGGAATTCAAACCACCTGCCTTTGGGTTGATAGCACAATTCCTTACCCAGTAGGCCACCAGAGCTCCTGGCTAAAGGACAGAAGGAGAAAACTTGAGGAAAGCACATTTAAGTCAGGCCATGAAAGAATTAAACACCTAAGAACAAGTATACAGTCGACACCTTTGAAGAACAGGAGATTGGACTAATAGTTCTGAAATAGTAAAGGTGAACTTCATACTATTAAGCATAATACTTTAGTATTGTATAACTTAAATGATCCAGGAGGTATTAAAAGAGATGAAAGGAATATACTGAGTCATTGTATCAAAAGGAATTGGCAGATACAGAATAATTTAATAAAATAACATATGATCAAGAGCCTATGATGATGAAGGAAGAAGTTCAAGCTGCTTTGAAGGAAATAGCAAAAAATAAGGCCCCGGGAATAGATGGTATACCAATTGACATATTTCAGCTAACAGATGCTGCCTTGGATGTGCTCACCAAGTTGTGCCAAGAAATCTGGAGAAAAACCATTTGGCCAACTGACTGGAAGAGATCTGTATTTGTTCCCATTCCAAAGAAGGGTGACCCAACTGAGTGTGGAAACTACAGAACAATATCATTGATTTCACATGCAAGCAAGATTCTACTGAAGATTATCCAAAAACGACTGGAACAGCACATCAGCAGAGAACTTCCAGAGGTCCAGGCTGGGTTTAGAACGGGTCGTGGTACTATGGATATTGTAGCTGATGTTAGATGGATCTTAGCTGAAAGCAGGGAATACCAGAAGAATGTCTATCTGTGTTTCTCTGATTATGCAAAGGCATTTGACTGTGTGGATCATAATAAACTGTGGCTTAATCTGAGAAGAATGGGAATCTCAGAATACTTGATCGTGCTAATGCGAAACCTATATTTGGACCAAGAGGCAGTCATCAGAACAAAGCAGGGTAACAGTGTATGGTTCAAAATTGGGAAGGATGTACGCCAGGGATGTGTCCTATCTCCATACCTTTTCAAGCTGTATGCAGAGCAGATTATCTGAGAGGCTGGGCTCTATGAGGAGAAGTGTGGCATCAGGATTAATGGAAGATCTATTAACAATCTGTGTTATGCCGAAACTGAGGAGGACCTCATGCACTTGCTGCAGAGGGTCAAGGACGGCAGCCTTCAGTATGGACTGAGGCTCAATGTCAAGAAGACAAAGATTCTCACCACTGGACCAATTGGTAGCATCAGGATGGATGGCGAAGAGATTGAGATTGTTCACAGCTTCAGTTTGCTTGGCTCCACAGTCAACACTCTTGGTACCAGCAGCCAGGAAATCAAAAAACGTATTGTGATGGGAAAGTCTGCTGTTAGGGACCTCTCTAAAGTACTCAAGAACAACGGTGTCTTTCTGGAGACTAAGGTGTGTCTGATACAGGGCATGGTCTTTGCAATCACTTGTTATGCATCAGAGAGTTGGACTACGACTATGGAGGACAGAAGGAGAATTGATGCCTTTGAACTGTGGTGCTGGAGAAGAGTATTGAATGTACCATGGACTGCCAAGAAAACAAGCAGATTCATCCTAGAGAGGGTTAAACCAGGCTACTCCTTTGAGGCAAGGATTCTGGGGCTTCGTCTGACATACTTTAGACATGTAAGGAGGGACAGGTCCGTGGAGAGAGACATCATGCTTGGGAGGACAGAGGGACAGCGCAGGAGGGGAAGACCCTCTATGAGGTGGATTGATTCAGTGACTGGGGTGATCGGGATGAGTGTGAGGGAGGCAATGTGATTGGCACAGGATAGAGCAGGGTTTAGGGCTGTTGTATATAGGGTCGCTATGAGTCGCAAATGACTCGATGGCACATAACAACAACAACAACAATTGTATAACTTATGGAATACCCTCACTCCTTCAAACTGATTTTAGAATAATTATGAAGGGTAGATACATTTTATATTAAAACTGTATTGGATTTAAGATTTAAAATTCAGAAAATCCCTTCTGGGCTCCCAAATAAAGGAGCTTGGTGAATATTTTGGAGAAGACAAATGTCATAAGATATTAGAAAAAACAACTTTTCCTGGTAGTAGTCTACTCAATAGTGCTCAGATCACTTCAAACTGTAAGAGGATCATTGAGATCGTCTGGTATCACTGAAGAAAAATCAAGAAAATGGGAGACACTTTTCTTACTCCAGCTATAGCTAGGCCAATAATACCTATGGCAGTTCCAGCTATGGCTGAACTGGAGACCAGATGTGAAATGGGACCTGGGATGGGCAAGAAATTTTATCTTAATGGAACTGAGAATCTTGGAATGATGGCCTGGAGCTGCAAGGCTCAAGGCGGAAGTGCCTGTGAGCACATTTTGGGAGCTCTCTTGATTGCATTTTGTTATTAATATAGATTATAACTTTTTTTACTTCACTCTCCCTTCTAAAAAGAAAGAAGATCATGGATAAATTTAATGAATACTAGGACTTGAAGGAAGATTAACAACCCATAGGAATTCTGGAAGGATCTATAGATGTAGTGTTCAGACAAAGAACAGTTTGTAATAGATATTATCTTGAAAGATCTGAGGAAATATGGACAATGAATTGGTTACTGTTTGTGATAGGATTTTAATCTGGTCAGTGTAGGGGAGTCTGCTGGTGTAAAGGGAGTCCCAAGGTTATAAAAGAGATTCATTTCTATATCTTTAAGAAGCTGGAAATACATCAGAACAAGAACAAGTGCATACATTCTTATTTACTCTTTCTTTAGAATAGGAAAAGGCTGGAAGACATTTCAATGATTTAAAATCGATGATTATGATTTGTTGAAGGATATTGTACATCTGGTCTCCTTGGTTGGAATTACTATTCCATTGTTTAAAAATGGATCTACATTGTTTAGCTAATTAGATGCTCATCTCAGTGTTCTAGTTAAGTAATGCAAAATAATAAATTAACAATACTTTTTTATGGTTCCTACTACAAGCTGTGATAAGCCGCAAACTACAGAGGCCTTACATACCCTGATCATCAGCACAGCCTTTCTGATGTCCCGAACACCATCATACACCAGGCGAGAGGCATCAATGAATTCATTCTCCTCAAATGGTTGTGGGACGTTGGCACTCAGAGCTTCAATGGCAACCTCAACTTGTTCAGCAAAGCGTGGCATCACTGGGTTGAAGAAAGTGAAAAGCAGTAGATTAGACTTTCTTTCACAAACTCTTATTCCAGTCCTTGGGAAAACAGTCAGGCTCCGGCAAAAAGGACTATGGAAAATGAGGTTGACAGGATAAAACAGAAATTTGATTGTTCCATTTTACTTGGACCTCATTGACATGATAGTAGATTCATAATGAGTCTGTAAAATGTTGAACTTTCTTATTTTCAGAGGAACTCCAGCACACATCTCTAGGGATACATGGAAAGTAAATTCAGTGGAAGATGTGGAATAATTCCTTTGGCTACTTTAAAAATGCTGTCAATTCACTGATTTTCAAATATTGTAATTCAATATTCTCAGATGTTATCTTGTAAAAATCAATTCTTACAGCAAATGAAAGCCAAAAGCACAATTCATTTTATTTACAAGGATCATAAAATAGAAACATCATTCATCTATTTCCATTTCTGAACTTTCATGCTTGATTCATTTTTATGCTCATTTTCATCCTGTGTGGCTACTTTAACACCCATTTTAATCCCTGGTGTGAGAAAAGCTGCTAAATTACTTTACTCTCTAGGGTCAGAGTATTCAAGGTAATTTTTTTCTCCCTTGGGAAAAAAGGTATTTGTAACAGAAAAAAAAGTAAAATTTTATTTAAGAAAGGAAAAAGTAGGTGTAGGAGAGAAAAAAAAAAACAACAAACCACCAATTTACCATTCTTTCGATTGAAATTAACAAAATCAGAACAGGAGGCAGATCTCCCCTCATGGATGATTGACTATAATTAGTTCTGTATTCTATTTTAAGCTCATTTTTGATCTTTTGATTTACACTTTTATATAAAAAGAAACTGAAGGATATTGAGTTGTATTGCTACAGTTTTCACAAAACAAGTGCACTAAATTTAGGTTATTTAATTCATCCATTTATATTAAGAATAAACAATTTTATATAACTACAAATCTTGATAATTAAAATTGACCTCCATAAGCACAGAAATATTTTCTGTTTATTTAGCATTTGAAGATTAACACCTTTCTTAAATGAATTTGAAAATTCCCTTTCTTTCAGAAGAAAGACTTAATACTACTACTTTTATTCTATGTGATATCTTAATTGCCATAATCACCAATGACTTTACAAGTTTGTATATATCATCAGGGAGCATTTAGTTACATAAAATTGTTCACTCTGTAGAATTAATAAAAGATTAAAGCTCAGATGTGCACATAGGATAAAAATTCTTACAACGCAATATGAAAAAGAGGGTCACTATTCAGATAGATCAGTAAAAAGAACTATAGTCAAAGGAAGAGAATAGATAATTCACACAAGAGAAATCCTATATTACTAAGAAACATGATAAATTTGTTTCATCGATGATTAGAAAAATTGCAATGTAATAAAAAGTTATTGCATAGGTTTTGAGATGGACATAATAGAAAAAATTAGTAATATAAATCTTGGTGAATGTTTTAAAAGAGAATCTTTATCAAAGGCATGAGTGCAAATAGTTACACATCATCAAGTTAGTACTTTGACAAGATAATAGTGACATGCACCCTCCAGTTAGCCAGTGCATTATCAAAACCAAAAACTCCAACAGTGTTGTGCTGATTCCGACTCATAGAGACTCAGTTTAAAGTTAAACTGTCCTATTTTAATTCTACAGGAGCTCTGGTGGTGTAGTTTACAGAGGGTTGTATCACTATTTCAAAAGCTACACCTGTCTGGCAGTTCGAATCCACTAGTGACTCCACAGAGGAAAGATGGTCAGTTTCCTCGTGTGCAATGTGCACCCCTCTCAACACTCAAAGGAGAGTTGATAATGAGTTGATTCTGACTCAACAGCAGTGGTTTTTAGTTATTTATAGATTTTTAAGGCTGCAATTTTTTTCATATTATCTATTTTGAGATATTAATCTTATCACACATGGTCCAAGAATAAACAAATAGTAAATGAAGTATAATCTGATGCATTCAAACATCATAGCCGATGATCCCACGCTTGCCTATGATCTCACCAATATAAAACCACATGCACACTTCAGTGGCCACCAAAGTATTCAGCAGAGCTTCCTTAACTGTGAGCTGTTTGAAGCGACCAGTTTGAGCACTATTGACTATTTTTTTCAGGCTCTGAATAGCTGTAGGGATCTCAGCAGGGGTTGGAGGAACCAGCTCCACCTTGGCATAGTGCCAAAATGTGGCCAATCGAGGCTTAAGGCTGCAATTTTTACAGGAGAAGACAAGAACATAATTTTCCTTTAGGATATTATCTAAGACATGACCAAATATGAACTGCTGGAGAGATGCTTCAAATTGACATCCTTGTAAGCTTGAAGATTTAAGTTCTCCTGATACAAGCCATGATATTTTCAATTGCCCCCAAAGTCTCTGAAAGTTGGGCAATGAATAAGAAATGTCAATGCATTTGTGTTGTGGTGTTAAAGAAGAATATTTAATATACCATGGACTACCAAAAGAATAAACAAACCTGTCTTGGAAGAAGTACCTCGACTGTGCCCTTTAAAGGCAAGGACAGTGAAACTTTGCCTCACACACTAGGACATGTTGTCAGGAGGGGCTAGTCATTGTAAAAAGATAACATGATGGGGAATATGGAGGGTCAGTAAAAAAGAAGACCCTCAAAGAGATGTATTGACAAAGTGACTACAACAATGGGATTAAGCATGACAGATATCATGAGGATGATACAGTACAGGGCAAGGTTTAGATCACAGGGTGACTGTGAGTGGTATTTGACTGGAAGACCACTAACAACAACAACAACAGAGATATACTGGTTGGGATTGTTCAGTAATTATTAATTGGAATCTATGAATATAGTTGCTTCTTTTTAATTTGTACATTCTGAAAATTAGGAATAAAAACTTGAAGGATGTTCAAAACTGAGACCCAGCACCATTCAAATTTCTACAAATTTGAGAGGAACTACTGGAAGCTGTTCCTTCCAGGCTTATTGGCTCATATAAGTTGGGACAAAGTGGTCTCAGGGACTTGCACAAGGAAATATGCAAATATAGTGCATAAGCCATCAATTCAAACTAGTAGATTAGAAGGGTAAACTTAAAGGGAATGTTCATGAGAATCTAAAAATAATCAATAGAGTACTGTAATGTCATGTAAACATTTATGGATTAATTAAACATATTCTGTAAGTATAGACAGCATCTTAAATATAGTAGTTAACTTTTTGAGAACAGGGAAGTGGTATTGAATAGAAGTTTTATAAAGTCTCAAAAGTTTATTAGAAATTCTGTGGAGTAGGGAAAGGAAATGGGAAGGATTCAGGTGAAAAGATAGGGTTATGATGGGCAAAGTACAATGATGATTAAATTGATAAAACATAATGCATGTTTTATATGATTGTATCTAACACAAAATGAATGAAGAATAGTGGAAACACAATGAATACAAACTTTGTAAGTAAACCAATTAAAAAAAGTGTATTAGGAGCCCTGAATGACACAAATCATTGTTCTCTCTTCTTAGCAGAAGACTGATGATTCAAACCTGCCAAGAAGTGTCCCAAGAAATGCCTAACAATTGATTTATAGAAAAAAAAATTACACACCGTGAAAAACCTGTGTGCATTTCTACCTTGAAACAAGAAGGATTGTCCTAAGTTGGAATCACCTTAGTATTGGTTTTTTTCTTCTCTTTAACAATATCATAATTAGATTTAAAAGATAATGTGAGTCAGATACAGTAAAAGGTCAATACTGTTAACACATCTAAGTAGAAGCAGGATGTCTGTTATATTAGCAGCTATCTTTTTGCATCTCCAATCTTTTCATTATTTAAATGTTTAGAAAGAGATCTGCAAGCTAGTCTCAAGGTTTCTTATCTTACAGAAAATAAGATTATAAAATATAGAGAATAAACTTCTTTAAAAATAATGTTATATTTTAAGGTATTTAACATAACAGAAACCAAGTGGAACAATAGTTTTAAGTGGGGAATTTTTTTCATTTGGTTGCCATAAAATAATATCCAACTATGATAAAATAGAACTATATTCCATGATATTTTGAATGAGTGCTTTAAAGAAGTAGATCACCAAAGCACTTTCTTATGACAGGTTGAGATTTTAATCAAACACTTAATATTAAGCCTCAAAGCTGAGAATTGGAGATCTGATTTAGGCAGTTTTTGTTCCCTAACTTGACACATACACAGCCCATGTATATGAAAACCTTTGCTTGTAAGAAAACAAAGAGGAGGAGAGAGTGATGCCTTGCTTTGTGTAAATCTATCATGAACAAGAGTTGGGGAGAGAAAAATGAAACTTTTCCCCTCTACCTGCTACCCTGTCTGATTCTGAGCTCAACAGAGAAAGTGGAAAAGTAGGATCTGAAAGAGGTATTTTCATGAAGGATGATACTGTGATACTCTGAAACCTCAAGTTTGGACAAAGACATTCCATTTATCCCAGTATGGAGTACAGAATCCTTTCTTTATTATTATTATTCTCTTTGAAAAGTAAAAGAAAAATTTTTTTCATTGTTATACAATCCCTCTCCCCACATTCACTCCACTATACAGCCTTCATTCTGTACCCACGTCATGACAATAAGACCTAATCATATATACCTTTTAAACAGTTCTCTCTCTCATCTGTTTCGATGCAGTATACATAATTTATCCCATCTTTCTCAGTCTCCCCCCCAGCCCCTATATCAGTCCCGTTGTACAACAGTGGCACTATGCAGTATTAGTCCTTTTGTTACTGAAATATTTCACTGTCCTCCAGGGTCACCCAGTTTGAATAATATTTTATGAGTTCCTTGTTTTTCAAAGCCACATAGTATTCCATTTTGTGATTGTACCAGAGCTTCTCTATCCATTCATTTGTTGATGGGCACTTGGGTTGTTTCCATCTCTTTGCTATTGTGAACAAAGCCGCTCTAAACATGAGAGTGCATATATCTGTTTTAGTGGTGGTTATGGTTTCTTTGGGGTATAATCCAAGTAGTGGAATTTC